TAGTGCTTAAAGATAAAGGACGATACTCCAAAAGTCAAATTTTAGATAACATCCAGTGATGAAGGATAGATTTGGCTTCTCATCCTTGCAACTCCATTATCTAGGCAGTTACATATTCTACTGAAACAGCAGGTCTAGATCTTAAGTACATCACCAATTCTCTTTTGATTGGACTAGAAACGTGGGTCGTAAGCTAGCAACCCGCTAAAGACTGGGTAAGAGTAAATAGCAGTGTGAAGGCCCTTTATACAAGTCTGACATTCCTTATTTATGCCATACCTGTGGGGCTGAAGAGCTAAAACAGAACATAGAAATCCTTCCAATGTGGTCAATGGGGGAATGTAATGGATGATGATGTAATGCTTTTGTGAGCCAAAAGAAACTGGAGCAACTCAATTGCCCAGAGAAACAAGAGTAAAAAGGCAGGATCATGGCCCAGGAGTGAGGACTAGGATGTGGTAATGCAAGCACTGTTTTATATATATATATATAGCCAACTACAGCAAGGAAGAGGTAAGAAATTTACCCACTGAATTCAGACCTCCTATAAATATTATTCCTTCCTACCAAGATCTAAATCTTCTACAAAATGAAATTTCTTTTTAGGAGGACACCAGCAGCTGCTCGTTGGCTAGAGAAATCAAAATTGAATATGTGAAAGTTCCTCACTATCCATTACTCTGAAGAATACAAAGAACACTTAAGACAAGATGTCTATCTGGACAAAGTGTTCTTGGTCCCTTTGCCCCTTTGTAGAATGCAAATACCCTGAGGCCAAATGGTCTTGCTACTGTTTACTGAGTTGGTTGGTTCCCCATCTCCACATCCCCTACCTGCATTTTTTTTTTTTAATGTCTTGGCTTAAGTTCTAAGAAAATAAACCATGGTAAGAAACATGGCCAAAAAAAAAAAAAAGTGCTTTATACTGCACTTATAATGTCTGGGTCCTCATAAGACAGAGAGAGACTAAATTACCTGAAGCTGCACACTAGCAACTATACTAGAACAAGAAAACAAGTTTCTTTAGAGAATCAAGGATGGTTCTAAATGTGTTGCCAGTTTATTTTAGTTCCAGGCATAAAGCCAGGTTTGGAAGCTGAAAAATGTAAAGAAGGTGTGGTCTCTGATCCTAAGGCACTGAAAAATTAATGAGTGCAACAGACTATTTCTCCTTTGCTATTGTTAACAGGTTGGAACTCAGCATTGAGAGCTTCTATTTGCAGAGGTAGATGCCCAATAGCAAAGTGGTTAAGGTGACTCAGACAGTGTAAACCTAAGGGCAAAATGGTGCCAACCTTGCCACCACACCCTCTGCATGCCTGGTCTTTCCCTTTGTCTTTTCTGAGTCACAGTTTGCAGACTAATAGCCAAGAATAAGGAATGATCCTGGGACCCATGGACAAGTTTGACACTATGAAGCAGTTTCCAGACATCGTATTCCCATGGGTTTCTTGTTCACACCCTTGGCATTGTGTAAATCTATGCGCTGCGTCCATTATCTATGTGGTGCATCCATTATCACACCGCTTAGTGTTTCTCTCAACAAAATGCTTAAAATTAAGCTAATGTGTTATCTTCAAAACAAAGGAAATGAAAATGCTGTACTAATTTTGTTAGTTGTTCTAAAATCTTGAGAAACAGAACACATATAGGACCAATTCCTGCTGTTCTTAGGCAGACATTTTTGCAGTCTCTAAAATGCAGAGATTGCCAATGAAATATTTTAGATTCCAATTTAAATGAAGCATGGCTCTTGGTTTTCTTGGCATGAATCAAGGTGAGCTTAGATTTTCAAGACAGATATAATACCTTATGAATTCCTGACTGAAAATAAAGGACAAAATTACTATTTGCAAATGCACAGTGTATATGAACTATAGAGTGTGTCTGGGACTATAAGGTAAAATAATGCCATCTGAATGATTCATTGAAATTATTGGTGTTTCTCAAGCTATTTTTATTTTCTCACATTAGTAATTGTGTGAAAATTACCAATGTTGTAAGTAAAGTTGAGTGAGTGGGTGCTATCACGGGTCAGCCAGGATCCTAGCTTTTATGTTGTACCAACTTGACAAAATGCTTCTGAAGGAAAGATGGAGGCGTCTGTGGTCAGGCTTTGGCATGCACACAGAAGCCATGGAGCCTGACCAGCTCAGCAATAAGAGTTTTAAGAGGTTGGCAAGGAAATGGCAAGATCTGTTGTAGAAGACAGTAGATATGGGTGTATCTGCTTAAATATGAGATCTTGATCTATTTCCTCTCCATGAAAATGCACATTAGGTTATAGACCTTCCTGAGAAAAACAATTTGAAAGAACCATCCATCCTCATAATATTCTTTTTTTACTCAAGCAAAATAGATTAATGCAGGGAAAAAGAAGAACCAAGTATGGTTGTATTGGTCCATTTTCACACTGCCGATAAAGACATACCTGAGATTGGGCAATTTACAAAAGAAAGAGGTTTAAATGGACTTACAGTTCCACATGGCTGGTGAGGAAATCATAGTGGAAGGTGAAAGGCACGTCTCACATGGTGGCAGACAGGAGAAGAGACCTTGTGCAGGGAAACTCCCCCTTATAAAACCATCAGATCTCATGAGACTTACTATCATGAGAACAGCAAGGGAAAGACTTGACCCCATAATTCAATTACCTCCCACCAGGTCCCTCCCACAACATACGGGAATTCAAGATGAGATCTGGGTGGGGACACAGCCAAACCATATCGGCAGTTAACAGATAAATAAGAACTTTCACTGGAAGGTAAACATTGAATGTCAAATGCTGAAGGTATTCAGGCTACGCTCACTAACTCAAGAATGAGCCAACTGACTCCTAATCACTGAATGCATTTGAGATTCTTTTCAAACTGACAATGTTTATACAAAATTAGAAAGGAGCAGGCTTTCCCCTTATCTATGTGCATATACCACAAATCTAGTAAACAAGTACATGACAACTTTGTGCAAAGAAGAAGTGACCTTAATGTAGTTTGGAGGAGCTAGAGATGCTGCAGGAGACAATGGCCCACAGTCCTGCACCCCAGTCCAGCCCTCTACTGCTGGAGGCACTGTTCATGTGGTGAAAGTAGAAAATGTCCTTACATTAGTAAGCTCCTTTTAAAAATTCCTGCTCTGAAAAAATAAACAAGAGAGCCAGTGAGTTCTGCAGGGGGATGCGGGAGTTGAGTAGTGGAAAACACAAAATCGGATCTATAACTTATACTGAGCTACCTGGATAAATCCCACATGGATCAAAAATTTAGATGTTAAGGGAAAATAATAAAAGAAGAAGAAAAATGCAAATTTCTTTATAACTAGAAACCAAAATTCATGAAGGAAAAGTTTTTTGTTAGATGAAATAAAATTTTTGTAAAGTTTATTTCTGCAAAAAATTGTGAACAAAATAAAAAACAATTGACATATTGGAAAAAAATATTTGCAATTCATATAACAAAAGGTTAGTCTCCCTAATATATAACGCTTCCAGAAATTCATTTAAAAAACCCAACAATCCAAAAGAAAAATGGGCAAGGAATGAACAAATGGTCCACAAAAAAGTAAATAATGACTCTTACACATATGAAGAAACACAACCTCTTCAATAGTAGGATACATGCAAATTGAAACTACATTGAGACACAATTTTCTACCAGTCGATAAAAATCCAAAGTAGTAGCACTCTGTTGTCCTGACTGCAGAGAAATAGGTGCTGTGATGCATCACTGGTGGGATGGTAAATTACTATAACTCCTACAGAGAACTATTTGCATTATATATCAAAATTACAACTGCCTATTTAATTTGACCAAGCAATTTCACTTCTTGATGTCTACACAAATTTTTCACTACAGCACTTTTTTTATAATAGTACAAATCAGTGAGAGAAGTTAAATAAGTTGATACATTTGTATGATAGAATTCTATATAGCAGTTTACCCAAAAAACAGGAAATGAAATATCTACTGATATGGAATAATTCTATGATTCATTGATAAGAAATGGTGCATTCTAGTATGTACAACATGCGCATTCGGGGGAGTGGGAAATTGATCAGGAACCTGTATGCACATTCACTGGCATATTCAAGAAGTAACTCTGGAAGGTCATCTAAGATATTGCTAACAGTGCCTGCCTGGATGGTGAATGGATGGAGCCTGAAGGTAGGAAGAAGAATTCCAGTTCTTGAAAAGAATGAGTTTCCAGAAGTACAGCTTTCTGGGATTAGAGGTACAGTCTAGGATCATAGAACTGACTGGGCTTCGTGGCCTACCAGGGATCAGACATATGATTTTGGCTTCATTATCCCAGAGTTCATGCCAGCAGCACTGGCCAGCTCGCAGGCTATAGGAGCACAGCCCATTCCAGAATCAAAGATTAAAGTTAGAAGCTACATTAAGGAGCCTTTGAAATAAGATTTGAGCTCAAGGCTTCTAAGTCCTTCTTTTATTCTACTTATCTTCAATTAGACCAACAGTTCTCAACTGCGGAAAATTTTGTCCCCAGGGCACAATTTTGATGGTCGTTACTGGGAAAGGAGGGAGTATGCTACTAGTGTTTTGTGGCTAGAAGCCAAGGAAGCTGCTAAACATCCTACAATGCATAGGAGCAAAAAATAAAATAAAATAAAATAAATTTAGCCTAAAATAGTAAAATTGAGATTGAGAACCTTGCCCTAGATAAGATGCCAAAGGAACGATGAAACTTGTGAGGCCAAGCGAAAACAAATTAAGGAATTGTGTACCATAAATAACCTTTCAATCCACCCCTGTGTCTGAGGTAGCTTAATTAGAGTCCTGTGTAGGGGCAAGAGAAGGATGATTTTTCTATACGCTGGTGTGACAAACACTGTAAAACTTAATCTTTTATCAAACACGAGCTAGATCTTAAAGTACAGTGCCATAGTCAAAGAATAACAATTCCTTAAATTTCTACATGTGCTGGAAATTGTTTTCCAGTGTTGGCACCTGTCTTTACTGCCCATTTCACTCACAGTCACAATGAGGCTTGATTTACGGAAGACCCGCTATTTAGAAACCCTGCAGAGCATCAGTAAAATCCGCGCTCCCACTGCAGAAAGGCTGCTGTCTCTGGGAGGTAGCTGAGCAGCTGCTAAGGAGTCTCCCTTTACCGCCCGCGGCAAAGAGAAAGAAGAAAGAAGCGCTGACTCACTCACTGCCAGACAAATGGGGCGGGGGTGCAGGGGAAAGGGGAGAGAGACGTCTGGAAGAGATGAGAGAATCACTCGGGGAATCATTTCCGATGGCAGAAACACAACAAAACTGCATTCCGATGCCAGGGAAAACATAATCAGAAAGAATGATTCCAAGTAGTAAAGAATAGATAATCAGCAGAGTGGAAGACAGTGCTGGCATTCTCCTCAAATGAGCACCACTGTTCCCAAGCCGCTAATCGTATTTCCACGGGAGCTACGTGGTGAGGACCAGATCAGGACCTGGGACATTCCGAGAGTGGCCACGCGGCTTCCCTTAGGATGCCTGGTATTTATCCCGTGCCTGTGGGAAACGGCCACTTTCTCACTTTTGCAGGAATTGGGAGGGGGGGGGGACGGCCGGACATGGTGGTTCATGCCTGTAATAACAGCACTTTGGGAGGCCGAGGCGGGCGCATCATCTGAGGTCAGGAGTTCGAGACCAGCCTGACCAACATGAAGAAACCCCTTCTCTACTAAAAATACAAAATTAGCCAGTAATCCCAGCTACTCGGGAGGCTGAGGCAGGAGAATCGCTTGAAGCCAGCAGGTGGAGATTGTGGTGAGCCGAGATCATGCCATTGCACTCCAGCCTGGGCAACAAGAGCAAAACTCCATCTCAAAAAAAAAAAAAAAAAAGAGGTGTGGTGCCCCTCTGCCCTGCAGAACTCTGCCTGGAGATTTGGCTTCATGGAGCTTTTCCTGACTTCCTTATGGAGCCAGTTCAGCATTCTCAATGAATGAAACAGTGACCTTCACAGCACTTCCACACTCCTCCATTCTCCTTCAACTGATTGTCACTGAGTCATCATGTTGCAATCTCTTCTTAAACTGTTCTTTCTTCTGCTGGTTTCAATTATTCCCTCCTGGCAAGATTGTGAAACTCTGGCTGGTGTTGAATAAGAGGTGGAACTCAGGCACTTAGAGATACAGTACTAGTGAACTCCGTGGGGAGGCAGGGAGGCAGTCAGACTCCTAGGTTAAAGCAACTCAAACAATATTGACCAATTATCATTGTCTACCAGTTTATGCCTTCATGGGAAAGTACTAGCAATGAAAAATCCTTGAAAAATGACAGAAAACAGCATGCTCCTCAAGAAATGAATAAGAATCTACCTCCGATCTTTTTCTCCTTTGAAGGCTCACTGGGAAAACTATTCCATGCAGAGACGAAGATTCGGGATTAGCCACTATAATTGTCTAGCTACTGAGCCAGGTTTGGCATTTCCTTGGAATGATACTAAAAATCTGAAGAACTGCAGTTTGCATGACTTTTAGTGCCGTATTTGAGGCACTTGCCACATACCTTATCTTATTCAATCCTTGCAACACCCCTGGGAAATTGTTGTAGTATTTCCCATTCTGAAGATCAAGAAACCAAAGCCAGAAAGATGACTGTAAATTGCTTAAAATCACCCAGCCCATAACATAGATGTTTCTTCAATGCTAAGATCACAGAGCCCACAACATAGATGACTTCTCTACACCCTGGTGCTACAAACACTTTGTAGCAACCAGAAAGAATTTGAGAGAACAGAAGCAAAGAAGATTTCTTTAGCATTCACTATGTGTCAAGCACTGTGTTAAGTGTTTGCAGTCGTTACTTTCTTTTTAATCCTGATCACAATCCTGTAATGTGGGTTCCATCATTTTCAACACTGACTAACGGAAGATTATCTAGAACAAGATAGATATATATGGCAGGAGGGTGGGATCTCATTAACAAAAATTGAGAGGTACAACCTGCTTCACCAGCTGAAAATATTGTCAAATCTCCTATTTTTTCTGTTAACAATTTAGGAATTCACATACACTCATACTAGAAAGTCTGAGATCTCATACTAGGGTATCAACACCGTATACATGTTCTCTCACTGAAACTGTTCAAGAATCCCACGATCTTACTCAGTTCAAAAGAATTAATTCTCTTTCCAAATGCCAGGCAGACAGTAAACTAGCATCTGGCTGGTCCCCTCATGTCACTGATTCTGTTCCTTTTGCCTCAGCATCTATTATTGCCACACAGTGTCTCACAGAACACTTTGGTGTTTCCAAAGCCCCAAGGTCCATAGGATAATCACTGTCTCTATCGGTAAAGCCTCTACTTGTCCTGATTATAGCAGAGGCTCCTGGAAAACCCGCCTATTTGAGCTGTTTACTTTGTACACACATATTCAACCATTGATACTAAAACAGGACTGGCATGCCTGAGTAGAGTGGGTCCACAGGGTTCTCAGCCTTATCTGCCTCCTGTATCAGAGTCAGCCCTGTGCCAGGGGTCTCTAGGCCCTAGCTACAATACACGCTCCCTTTTCATTCATTGCAACCTTCCCTCCAAGACCTGTGATGTTCTTTCCTACCAGGGGACATCTTTCATTGACATTCCAACACAGTAGAAAGGTTTTTCTAACACCAAAACCCATGAAGAAAACAAAACAAGAAAACAAAACAACCTTTATTTCTTTACTTCCAAGCAGTTACTTGGTGCCTGGGTAAATTTTCCCACTTTCTTTTCAGGACCATTTTCTAATCCAAATGACATTGGAAGGGTCACTTACAGGGGCCCATGTATGGTCTATTATTTCTCCTCCCCCCCACCGCCAGGACAATAGGTATATGTTGGCCTTACCTCACCATAACAGATGCAGGCCCCTCAAGTAATTTCTCCTATAATAATAATAAATTTTTTTAAAGTGCCTCAAGGTGATTCGGCCTCTAGGCATAGAATAACTTAGCACAATTTTCAGAGTTCAACACCACTAGACACTCTTAACTTTGTGTGTGAATCCATCAATTGGACAACATTGTTAATTCTACCAGTGCTATCTGTTCCCCCTAAATATGCCCAGTTTATATTGAGATCTAAGCTACATATTTTCTCAAACTACTGGCATAAAATAGAAACAAACATCTAAATAATTCAAAAACATCTTAATAACTAACCCATCACTGTGGAAGTCACAGCTCATAAATACCTTTGGTTCTATCAACATACAGTTATATGATGTTAGACTTGGTGCTGCAGATGGTATGTTTTCTTGTGACACATTATAAGCAAGATAAAATGCATAAATGTCCCTAAAACAAGAACAAAAGAGAGAAACAAACTCCTAACCACAGGAAGCAGGCTAGAATCTTATTTTGTGAAGCCATGAGACATTTCAAATAATGAAAAAAAACTTCCTTTACCCCTTTACCCTGGGAGGAATGTTGAACATTTAAAGGAACGTTACCTCATCAGATAGATAGCATTAAACACATGTTCTTTCTTCTTTTGTTCTCTTCCAGCTCCTCATTAAAACAAAAGACAATAAACTTTGCCTTAAAGGTTTTAAACCATAGGGGCAAAAAAATGGGAGAGGGCATGGCAGCATCAAAAATCTTGAAAACAGGAGATGAAAAAAGCAGCCCTAGGTGTAATGGCTCACACCTGGAATCCCAGCACTTTGGGAGACTGAATCAAGCAGATTGCTTGTACTCAGAAGTTGAAGACCAGTCTGGGCAACATGGCAAAATTTCATCTCTACCCGGGAGATGGAAGTGGGAGGATTTCTTGAGCCCAGGAGGTTGAGCTTGCAGTGAGCCGAGATCACACTACTACACTCCAGCCTGGGCAACAGAGTGAGACTTTATCTCCAAAAAAGGAAAATAGGGGAATGGAAGGGGAAGGGGAAGGGAAGGGGAAGGAGAAGGGGAAGGAGAAAGGCAGGGGAAAGGGAAAGGCAGGGGAAGGGGAAAGAGAAGGGGAAGGGGAAGGAAGGGAAGGGGAGGGGAGGGGGAGGGAAGGGGGAGGGGGGGTGGGGAGGGGAAGGGGAGGGAGAGGGGAGGGGAGGGAAAGGAAAAAAGAGAAGAAAAAGACAGCAGGCCTGTGGAAAGTGTATCCAAAACTAGTGGTAAGGAAAGCTGAAAAGCAATCCAGTTTGTGCCATGAAAGACCAAAGTTCTGAAGCTGACAGCACCACGTAACTCTTGAAGGGGGTTGTGAGTAGAGATGGGCTGGCTAAAATAGGGAGAATGAGTTGAAACTATAAGAGGCTGCTCAATCCCCAGACCCCTTTCCTCACTCACTCCACTAGCTGGATGGCTGAGCCTTCCCACTCTGGTAGCAGATTGGAAATTTACTCTGCAGAGAGGGTAAAACAGTCTCCAAACTGGAACATTAACCACAGTTAAGGGTGGAGGTACTCGTTGGCAGTAAATGTTTTAGTAGAACTCACGCCTTCTCTATAACCTGCCATTTCCACTCCTAGGAATATGCACAACAGGCAGGTGTGCACGGCCCACCAAAATACAGGTTCAAAGATGTTCACAGAATTATTTGTAAAAGTCAAAAACTGGAAACAGTGCAAAGGTTCATCAACAATAGAATGGCCAAATAAATTGTGGCATGTTCTTCCAATGGAAACTCACAAACACAATATTGAATGTAAGACGTCTGACGAAAAGGTTATTTATAAGTTTCCAGTTATAAAAAAGTTCACAAAAGAGGAAAACCTAATCCTATGGTATCAAAAGTCAGGGTAATGTTTAATTTAAGAGAAGTAGGAGGATATAAAGCCTGAGGGGGGACATTAAGGGAGCCTTTGGGATGCTTCTATTGCTTGAGATGGGTGTGGTTATGTGGGCGTGTTGACTCTGTGATCATTTGTTGAGCTGAACACTTATGATTAGGTCACTTTTTATATGAATGTCATACTTCAATAATAAAGTTAATTTTTAAAAAGCAAGTCAACTAACAGATCTGTAGATTGCATATCAAGTCCGGAAGTCTTAAAGAACCCCTGTGTTCAGTGTAGGGTGGGTTTCTTTGTAAAACTTGCCATCAGTGGAAAGGAAGTAGGGGAGGTTGATGAAGGGGGGCTTTTTAACCCAGGAATCTCTGCAG